TCAGAGTTATTAAATCCCTCGTCATCACACAGTCCGTGATTACTCAACTTCATAGTAAAATACTGCAGTTGTCTTTTTGACCCTGAAATTAAAGAATCGGTCAACAATTTTTTATGAAAAATCATTAAATGTAGAACGTTTTGAATACGTTTCCATTCCAATTCAGCAATGTCCTCGATACACATAACATATTTAGAAAACCTCTTTAAAATTCCTTTAATTGGTTGAGAGTATATTTATATATATTTTATATGAATTAAATATGGATGAAATAACAACCTCGAAAATAGATTAAAAGTGTTTCATTTTACCAAGAATTGATGACAACCCTCGTTACCTATATATTTTACCGTGAGTAAAGCAAGTACTTTTACTTTTTCTTTATATATATATATATATATATATAATTTTCAATGAGTCTGCCAAAATATCGTTCTCCAAAAATAATGAACACAGGTAGCATGATAAACTTGATAAAAAATTAATCAAAATAAACTTACATTCACCTGGTGCAAAGTTGTAGATCTTAACTTCCTTGAAATTATATATTTGTTGAAGGTCCACACACCACCATTTCGGGGTGCGCTGTCCATCATGAGAAAGGGTCTTGACATCACCATCTACTCCATGACAGGCTGGGTATTGTCCTTTATCATATAAACTGGACATTGCCGCTGGCTTTCCAAAAGCTACATTGTTTTTATCTAAAAACATAGAAAACATGAACGCAATATTTGACAAAATCAAAGTGATATTATTATTTTTTATATAAACCACAAGAAACGTTTTCAGTTCATAAAATACACGAACTACCGACAAGCTTTTAGTTAAAAAAAACGGAGAAACACTACCGACAAGCAACGCGCCTTCAGTTCACAAAAACACATCAGCAACCTTGAGCTACTTTCAGTTCATAAAAAACCCATGAGCTATATAGACAAGCAACGAACTTACTAAAACATCGACCTACCAAAAACGACCAATGAAAGCGTGAAGCGACGATAAACTGGGCACAAAAACGATCAGGAAACGACCTCAAACTATTTCGGTTCATGTTCTAGTAAGTACGCCTTAATTCGTAAACACATGAGCTACCGACAAACAACAAAACTTTAGGTCATAAACATACAAAACACATGAGCTACCGACAATCAACAAACCTTTAGGTCATAAACATACAAAACACATGAGCTACCGACAAACAACAAACCTTTAGGTCATTAACACACAAAACACATGAGCTACTGACAAACAACAAACCTTTAGGTCATAAAAACACAAAACACATGAGCTACTGACAAACAACAAACCTTTAGGTCATAAAAACACAAAAGCAACGAGCTTTTGAATCATAAAAAATACACAAAAGCTAAAGATATAATAGAAATATATTAATAACAGTTATACCTTCAGGTAACGAGGTGTATGTTACCATTCCAGCGTCCACAGAAACTTTCATACAGATAACACTTTCTGTGTATGGTATGAAACCCAAAAGAGTGACAGGTGCCCGATTGCCTGCACAAATGTGCACAATATAGTGTATTAGGAGCATCCAACGACGAATTATAGTTGGGTATTAGTTTGTCTCGACGGTATAATGTAAATTCTTCAATACTCAAACAAGCATAATTTAGTTGAATAAAACAAGTAATGTAGACAATAACAATTACAAACACCATTGTAACTGCAATTACTTTAAGCTGTATTCGAATATCAGAACGTTTTGGTAAAATTGACTGCAAATATCCAACAGCAACTGCGTGTGCTAACTTAAGAAATAAGTTATATAAGGCGAAGTGAAAAAAAAAACATTGGAGCTGTGAACAGAGTGTGGATTTTGAGCTCAAACCTTTTAGCCATTGGTGCTTCTAAACCAAACATTACCGAAGAGTTTTGAAAAAAGGCTTGAAAGAAAGACTTCCAAAGAGAAGTACCATCAGGTGTTTCGAAAAGAGTATGCATTGTCTGCTTTAGACGCGACACCTGCCACTACCACAGGGGTAAACATCATGAGATACAACCAGATCAATTCATGCCTGACCAGACTCAAGTATGCTATTTATATCGAGGTACCAGGTTCTACCAATTAGTACTATGCTGTCAAATGCCAAACTAGAGACAAGAAAAATACAATAAAACACATGAACACAAGTTTTATTAACAGTAATGGTTGTACGAGTATATCTATGTACAATTAATGTTCTTAGATCTTTTAACAAAAATCATATTGGAAAAACTTACAAACTTTTTCTCCTCTGCTAAATATATTCTTACACATGTATATTCTAAAAAAAATGCCGAGCTTTCTGTGAAAGCGAATGTAAGGAGTTTTAGATCTAGAGAAATATTCGGCGAAATTTGACATTTTTAGAATTTTTTCAAAGGGACCAATCACAGTTTACTCTCATAAACGGGAATTTGTTTAGCTAAGCTAATCAGTCAAAATGATGAGTCTTATTTTTGAGACACTGCCATATATAGAAAAGACATTTATAGAAATAAAAAAGACATTACTAGTTTGATATTCGTACATTTCTAGTATTTCTGAAAACTATTTACATATATTCAGTACTCGAAAGACTGTTTCTAAAGCAATTCTATTTTGTTCCCTTAAAGAGCACTGACCACCATCTCTAAGAAATGAAGGTATATACTGGTGCTGTGAACAGTAAGATAAATAAAGCGAGAAATGAAAGGTAAAGATGAAGTACAGTGAGTAATGTTATATATGAACTGGGCATCGGGCAGATTATCCTGGTAGCAAACTTCAGAGTTATTAAATCCCTCGTCATCACACAGTCCGTGATTACTCAACTTCATAGTAAAATACTGCAGTTGTCTTTTTCCCCCTGAAAATAAAGAATCGGTCAACAATTTTTTATGAAAAATCATTAAATGTAGAACGTTTTGAATACGTTTCCATTCCAATTCAGCAATGTCCTCGATACACATAACATATTTAGAAAACCTCTTTAAAATTCCTTTAATTGGTTGAGAGTATATTTATATATATTTTATATGAGTTAAATATGGATGAAATAACAACGTCGAAAATAGATTAAAAGTGTTTCATTTTACCAAGAATTGATGACAACCCTCGTTACCTATATATTTTACCGTGAGTAAAGCAAGTACTTTTACTTTTTCTTTATATATATATATATATATATATAATTTTCAATGAGTCTGCCAAAATATCGTTCTCCAAAAATAATGAACACAGGTAGCATGATAAACTTGATAAAAAATTAATCAAAATAAACTTACATTCACCTGGTGCAAAGTTGTAGATCTTAACTTCCTTGAAATTATATATTTGTTGAAGGTCCACACACCACCATTTCGGGGTGCGCTGTCCATCATGAGAAAGGGTCTTGACATCACCATCTACTCCATGACAGGCTGGGTATTGTCCTTTATCATATAAACTGGACATTGCCGCTGGCTTTCCAAAAGCTACATTGTTTTTATCTAAAAACATAGAAAACATGAACGCAATATTTGACAAAATCAAAGTGATATTATTATTTTTTATATAAACCACAAGAAACGTTTTCAGTTCATAAAATACACGAACTACCGACAAGCTTTTAGTTAAAAAAAACGGAGAAACACTACCGACAAGCAACGCGCCTTCAGTTCACAAAAACACATCAGCAACCTTGAGCTACTTTCAGTTCATAAAAAACCCATGAGCTATATAGACAAGCAACGAACTTACTAAAACATCGACCTACCAAAAACGACCAATGAAAGCGTGAAGCGACGATAAACTGGGCACAAAAACGATCAGGAAACGACCTCAAACTATTTCGGTTCATGTTCTAGTAAGTACGCCTTAATTCGTAAACACATGAGCTACCGACAAACAACAAAACTTTAGGTCATAAACATACAAAACACATGAGCTACCGACAATCAACAAACCTTTAGGTCATAAACATACAAAACACATGAGCTACCGACAAACAACAAACCTTTAGGTCATTAACACACAAAACACATGAGCTACTGACAAACAACAAACCTTTAGGTCATAAAAACACAAAACACATGAGCTACTGACAAACAACAAACCTTTAGGTCATAAAAACACAAAAGCAACGAGCTTTTGAATCATAAAAAATACACAAAAGCTAAAGATATAATAGAAATATATTAATAACAGTTATACCTTCAGGTAACGAGGTGTATGTTACCATTCCAGCGTCCACAGAAACTTTCATACAGATAACACTTTCTGTGTATGGTATGAAACCCAAAAGAGTGACAGGTGTCCGATTGCCTGCACAAATGTGCACAGCATAGTGTATTAGGAGCATCCAACGACGAATTATAGTTGGGTATTAGTTTGTCTCGACGGTATAATGTAAATTCTTCAATACTCAAACAAGCATAATTTAGTTGAATAAAACAAGTAATGTAGACAATAACAATTACAAACACCATTGTAACTGCAATTACTTTAAGCTGTATTCGAATATCAGAACGTTTTGGTAAAATTGACTGCAAATATCCAACAGCAACTGCGTGTGCTAACTTAAGAAATAAGTTATATAAGGCGAAGTGAAAAAAAAAACATTGGAGCTGTGAACAGAGTGTGGATTTTGAGCTCAAACCTTTTAGCCATTGGTGCTTCTAAACCAAACATTACCGAAGAGTTTTGAAAAAAGGCTTGAAAGAAAGACTTCCAAAGAGAAGTACCATCAGGTGTTTCGAAAAGAGTATGCATTGTCTGCTTTAGACGCGACACCTGCCACTACCACAGGGGTAAACATCATGAGATACAACCAGATCAATTCATGCCTGACCAGACTCAAGTATGCTATTTATATCGAGGTTCCAGGTTCTACCAATTAGTACTATGCTGTCAAATGCCAAACTAGAGACAAGAAAAATACAATAAAACACATGAACACAAGTTTTATTAACAGTAATGGTTGTACGAGTATATCTATGTACAATTAATGTTCTTAGATCTTTTAACAAAAATCATATTGGAAAAACTTACAAACTTTTTCTCCTCTGCTAAATATATTCTTACACATGTATATTCTAAAAAAAATGCCGAGCTTTCTGTGAAAGCGAATGTAAGGAGTTTTAGATCTAGAGAAATATTCGGCGAAATTTGACATTTTTAGAATTTTTTCAAAGGGACCAATCACAGTTTACTCTCATAAACGGGAATTTGTTTAGCTAAGCTAATCAGTCAAAATGATGAGTCTTATTTTTGAGACACTGCCATATATAGAAAAGACATTTATAGAAATAAAAAAGACATTACTAGTTTGATATTCGTACATTTCTAGTATTTCTGAAAACTATTTACATATATTCAGTACTCGAAAGACTGTTTCTAAAGCAATTCTATTTTGTTCCCTTAAAGAGCACTGACCACCATCTCTAAGAAATGAAGGTATATACTGGTGCTGTGAACAGTAAGATAAATAAAGCGAGAAATGAAAGGTAAAGATGAAGTACAGTGAGTAATGTTATATATGAACTGGGCATCGGGCAGATTATCCTGGTAGCAAACTTCAGAGTTATTAAATCCCTCGTCATCACACAGTCCGTGATTACTCAACTTCATAGTAAAATACTGCAGTTGTCTTTTTGACCCTGAAATTAAAGCAGCACCTTCACTATCCGTTCGATCAATGATACCTTAGTTTCAGAAACAGGAATATTCTAGGAATATTCAGTAATAGTGTTCACAGCTCATCGTCGAAATTTGAGCCTTCAAATCCATGTGTATCCATAAATTCGACTCGATTTTTAGTGAAACTATGCCATATAGAAAACACATATATAAGAATAGACAGTGAAATTTCTAGTTTGAGTTATATTTGAAGGAATTATGCAATTTTCCTGCGTTTTGGGACTTCTTAAGACTATTAAAACACATTTAAGACCAAAATCAATCCCCGAAAATGCCGACTGTTCCCCGTTGAAGAAAAGGTTTGAAGAATCAATAAATCTAGAACGTTTTGAGTACGGTTCCATTCCAATTCAGCAGTGTTCTCGATACAAATAACATTTTTAGAAAGCCTCTCTACAATTTTTTTAATTGATTGGAAGTAAAAATGTATATACAATCATCAATGAGTCTGCAAAAATATCTTTCTCCAAAATAATAAACACTTGTAGCATGATAAACCTGATAAAAAATTATTCAAAATAAACTTACATTCACTTGGTGCAAAGTTATAGATCTTAACTTCCTTGAAATTGTATATTTGTTGAAGGTCCACACACCACCATTTCGGTGTATCCTGTCCATCATGAGGAAGGGTCTTCATATCACCATCTACTCCATGACAGGCTTGGTTTTGTCCATTATGAAATAAAGTGGACATTGCCGCTGGCTTTCCAAAAGCTACATTGTTTTTATCTAAAAACATAGAAAATATGAACGCTATATTTGACAAAATCAAATTAATATTATTAGTTTTTATATAAACCACAAAAAACGTTTTCAGTTCATAAAATACACGAACTACCGACAAGTAAAGTGTCTTTAATGCAAAAAATACACGAGCTACCGACAAGTAAAGTGTCTTTAATACATAAAAATACACAAGCTACCGACAAGTAAAGCGTCTTTAATGCAAAAAATACACGAGCTACCGACAAATAAAGTGTCTTTAATACATAAAAATACACGAGCTACCGACAAATAAAGCGTCTTTAATACATAAAAATACACGAGCTACCGACAAGTAAAGCGTCTTTAATACATAAAAATACACGAGCTACCGACAAGTAAAGTGTCTTTAATACATAAAAATACACGAGCTACCGACAAGTAAAGCGTCTTTAATACATAAAAATACACGAGCTACCGACAAGTAAAGCGTCTTTAATACATAAAAATACATGAGCTACCGACAAATAAAGTGTCTTTATTAATACATAAAAATACACGAGCTACCGACAAGTAAAGCGTCTTTAATACATAAAAATACATGAGCTACCGACAAATAAAGCGTCTTTATTAATACATAAAAATACATGAGCTACCGACAAGTAAAGCGTCTTTAATACATAAAAATACACAAGCTACCGACAAGTAAAGTGTCTTTAATACATAAAAATACACGAGCTACCGACAAGTAAAGCGTCTTTATTAATACATAAAAATACATGAGCTACCGACAAATAAAGTGTCTTTAATACATAAAAATACATGAGCTACCGACAAATAAAGTGTCTTTAATACATAAAAATACATGAGCTACCGACAAGTAAAGTGTCTTTATTAATACATAAAAATACACGAGCTACCGACAAGTAAAGCGTCTTTAATACATAAAAATACACAAGCTACCGACAAAAAAAGTGCCTTTAATACATAAAAATACATGAGCTACCGACAAGTAAAGAGTCTTTAATACATAAAAATACATGAGCTACCGACAAGTAAAGCGTCTTTATTAATACATAAAAATACATGAGCTACCGACAAGTAAAGCGTCTTTAATACATAGAAATACATGAGCTACCGACAAGTAAAGCGTCTTTAATACATAAAAATACATGAGCTACCGACAAGTAAAGCGTCTTTAATACATAAAAATACACGAGCTACCGACAAGTAAAGCGTCTTTAATACATAAAAATACACGAGCTACCGACAAGTAAAGCGTCTTTAATACATAAAAATACACGAGCTACCGACAAGTAAAGCGTCTTTAATACATAAAAATACACGAGCTACCGACAAGTAAAGAGCCTTTGATACATAAAAATACATGAGCTACCGACAAGTAAAGAGTCTTTAATGCATAAAAATACACCAGCTACCGACAAGTAAAGTGTCTTTAATACATAAAAATACACGAGCTACCGACAAGTAAAGCGTCTTANATACATAAAAATACACAAGCTACCGACAAGTAAAGCGTCTTTAATACATAAAAATACACGAGCTACCGACAAGTAAAGCGTCTTTAATACATAAAAATACACCAGCTACTGACAAGTAAAGCGTCTTTATTAATACATAAAAATACACGAGCTACCGACAAGTAAAGCGTCTTTAATACATAAAAATACACGAGCTACCGACAAGTAAAGCGTCTTTAATACATAAAAATACACAAGCTACCGACAAGTAAAGCGTCTTTAATACATAAAAATACACCAGCTACCGACAAGTAAAGCGTCTTTATTAATACATAAAAATACATGAGCTACCGACAAGTAAAGCGTCTTTAATACATAAAAATACACGAGCTACCGACAAGTAAAGCGTCTTTAATACATAAAAATACACAAGCTACCGACAAGTAAAGCGTCTTTAATACATAAAAATACACGAGCTACCGACAAGTAAAGCGTCTTTAATACATAAAAATACACAAGCTACCGACAAGTAAAGCGTCTTTAATACATAAAAATACACGAGCTACCGACAAGTAAAGAGCCTTTGATACATAAAAATACACGAGCTACCGACAAGTAAAGCGTCTTTAATACATAAAAATACACCAGCTACCGACAAGTAAAGAGCCTTTGATACATAAAAATACACGAGCTACCGACAAGTAAAGCGTCTTTAATACATGAAAATACATGAGCTACCGACAAGTAAAGCGTCTTTAATACATAAAAATACACGAGCTACCGACAAGTAAAGCGTCTTTAATACATAAAAATACACGAGCTACCGACAAGTAAAGCGTCTTTAATACATAAAAATACACGAGCTACCGACAAGTAAAGCGTCTTTGATACATGAAAATACACGAGCTACCGACAAGTAAAGCGTCTTTAATACATAAAAATACACGAGCTACCGACAAGTAAAGCGTCTTTAATACATAAAAATACACGAGCTACCGACAGGTAAAGCGTTTTTAATACATAAAAATACACGAGCAACTTTGAGCTACTTTCAGTTAAAAAAACACAATACACACAAATACGGAACTTGCTAAAACATGAAGCGACCAGAAACGACCAAAGAAAGTGTGAAGCGAACATGAACCCAGCACAACAACGATCAGGAAACGACCTCAAACTGTTTCGGTTCATGTTCTAGTAAGTACGCCTTAATTCGTAAACACATGAGCTACCGACAAACAACAAACCTTTAGGTCATAAACATACAAAACACATGAGCTACCGACAAACAACAAACCTTTAGGTCATAAACATACAAACCCCATGAGCTACCGACAAACAACAAACCCTTAGGTCAATAAAACACACGAGCTACCGACAAACAACAAAACTTTAGGTCATAAAAACACATGAGCTACCGACAAACAACAAACCTTTAGGTCATAAACATACAAAACACATGAGCTACCGACAAACAACAAACCTTTAGGTGATAAAAACACAAAACACAAAAGCAACGAGCTTTTGAATAAAAAATACACGAAAGCTAAAGATATAATAGAAATATATCAATAACGGTTATACCTTCAGGTAACGAGGTGTATGTTACCATTCCAGCGTCCACAGGAGAAACACAATCCATCGGGAAACTTTCATACAGATAACACTTTCTGTGTACGGTATGAAACCCAAAAGAGTGACAGGTGCCCGATTGCCTGCACAAATGTGCACAGCATAGTGTATTAGGAACATCCAACGACGAATTATAGTTGGGTATTAGTTTGTCTCGACGGTATAATGTAAATTCTTCAATACTCAAACAAGCATAATTTAGTTGAATAAAACAAGTAATGTAGACAATAACAATTACAAACACCATTGTAACTGCAATTACTTTAAGATGTATTCGAATATCAGAACGTTTTTGGTAAAATTGACTGCAAATATCCAACAGCAACTGTGTGTGCTAACTCAAGAAATAAGTTATAAAAGGCGAAGTGAATAAAAAAACATTGGAGCTGTGAACAGCTCTGAGCGTGGCTGTTGAACTATTTGCAGATTTAACCTTTTAACCCTCGGTGCTTCTTAACCAACCATTGGCGAATACTTTTAAAGGAGGCTTGAAATTAAGTCACTTCCTCTGTAACCTCCTTGGGTTCCCAAGTTTAATCTGACATAATATTTTTTTTTTTGGTGATCATCATGAGATACAACCAGATCAATTCATGACTGACAAAACTTAAGTATGGTATGCGTATCTATGTATCTACATAATCAAAATGAATTTGTTTTTAAAAGGGTTAATTACAAACGGAGAGTACCACAAATACAATTAGAGAATTTATTTTACTGAAATCCGTACAGTAGTTTTATAACAGCTTCCAAAACGCATAAAGAACTTTACACGTTTACGTAAACTTTTTAAATAATTTAATGGCGTTAAAAAAAATGACTGATTTTTTTCAGTTAAAAGATTCAAATACGTAAAAGGGCACATTTTCTGTAGATTTTGGTTTAAAGTTCTTGCAAAAGGATTTTTCCCCCTACAAAAAAGCGGAATGCCCTTTTAACAATAGGTATTTTCTTAAAAATTGTATGAATTTTCAAATTTTCAAATAAAAGCTGACAATTGACTTGTTAAAAAATAACAAATAATTTATAACCATCTAGAGAATATTTTAATTTCAACTTAAGCGAAATGTACGGTTTAACATTTTCTGAAGCAATCGATAGTTAAATGAAGAGTAAACCAAACTTATAGATTTTATTTGAAACGCACCTTGGGAACGCAATACGGTCCCATATTTCGCAGGTAGATAGCGACTTTTTCTCTCATTTTCTTCACGTTTATCAGCGACCAAAACATTTTTAGTTTTAGTTTCCGCTAATACTGGTAGTCGCAGTCCGGTGTAATGGCGCTATTAACAGATCATATCTTACGTTATAGATCTTTCTCCTAGAATGTTCGCTTACGTTATAGATCTTTCTCTTCCGTTATATATCTTTCTCTTACGTTATAGATCATCTCTTACGTAACAGATCTTTCTCTTACGTTATAGATCATCTCTTACGTAATAGATCTTTCTCTTACGTTATACATCATCTCTTACGTTATACATCATCTCTTACGTTAAAGATCTTTCTCTTACGTTATAGATCATCTCAGATTACGTTATACATCTTTCTCTTCCGTTATAGATCATATCTTACGTAATAGATCTTTCTCTTACGTTATAGATCATCTCTTACGTTGTACATTTTCCCCTTACGTTGTAGATCATATCTTACGTTATAGATCTTTCTCTTCCGTTATAGATCATATTTTACGTTATAGATCTTTCTCTTACGTTATAGATCATCTCTTACGTTGTACATTTTCCAATTACGTTGTAGATCTTTCGCTTACGTTGCAAGACCCCCCATTGAAACGCCATTGGAAAAAACAGACCTTTCTTTTACGTTTTCACAATCAGTTCTCTTGATTTCCGTAACCTTTTTCAATCTTAGTTCTCTATGCTTACGTTTTTAACGTAACCGAACATTCTGTTTTATCGTTTTATACCTTTTTCCGTTTGTCATATGTCACAGAGATAAATATTTAATGAAAGCGTGTGTTGTGTTATCTTATAATAGTAAGAACTATATATATATCTCTGATGGTGACCCAAGATATTCAAATATAAACATTATAAGTTTTAAAATTAGTTTATCAGCTAATCATGTATCGGTAGCAACCAATACAAATGATAGACCGACTCGATAATTGACATTATTATCAGGAGTTGAATTAAGGTCTGCAAGATGCGTGGGGTTCGGCTAATGGCTATTATTACACATAAGGTTAAATAGTTCCAACTAAATATAGGGTGTAAACTCTAGTTCATTTCAACAACTCAACTAACTAGTACAAAAACAGTTTTGAGATCTTCTTATCTGAACTAGTGGGCTAATGAATTGTGCAGCGAGGGAAATTTTGCCATTGTCCAGGGATCTTTAACATGCACATCCTGTAGCACATGGGGCCTCGGTTGATTGTCCCATCCGAACGAATAGACGCTTTTTACAGAGCCTCAAACTAGTACAGAAACCATGACATTAAACTCTATTTCATTTCATCATCCTTATAAAATACAGAACGATATTTCCGTTTTCCTTTCTGAATCTCGATAAAGTGCAGGGAAGTAGAGCATAAAACTCCATTTCATTAACCACATGCCGTGAACAAGAGTAAAATCGGTCTCACGCCATCAGCTCTGTGCAGTATAAAACATGAACCTCATTATTCATTGTTTACATCTACTTTCTTTTAATCCTGATCAGTTTTTTCACGCCTTAATATCTACAAAGAAATTATCGATCAGAAATCGATACACGGAAATATCATGACCCCTGTTGAATGTAGGTGGTTTCATAACACAATTAAACAGAGTAATCTCCCTTTGAAGTTTCAAACGACCAACGCATCTTTTATCTTTGGTCTAATTCCTTCGTCAATATAATTATGTTAGTTCGATAGAGTCGGTGATAGATTTATCTTCATTTAGATTTATAAAGTTGAAAAATAGTTTTATCTCTTATCCTCTTGTACTCCGTGACAACATTGTATTAAAGTGTTACAAATGTTAAATGACAAATGTTTCAAGTGAAGATTCCATTTAAGCAAGAAATATTTCGCATGCAGTGCCTAAGTTGCTGACACTAACACGTGTCATTTCTCAAAAGACAATAGTTACATGTTATTTTCACTAATTAAAAAGCCAGAATACGTAAAACTAATGAGAAAACTCAAAAGGCAGTGATGGAACCTAATAAAAATGACACTTGTTATTTCAATTTATGATATGATTTATGAAATGGAATATGTTTATGTACTTCTTTCTGTCACATCTTTGTTTTTAATCCCACAGAGACTGAAAAAAAATGAAATGAAATGAATGGAGTTTTACGTCCTACTTTTCTGCACACAGGGCCTCGGTTTATTGTCCCATCCGAACGACTAGACGCTTTTTGTATGTCAGTCCCTCTTACCTACATCACTGACAGGGGTAAAAGGTATCAACTCGACCTATGCCAGGATTGAACCCTGGACCTTCAGGAAAGCATGTACATCACTCAGCCACCGCGGCTCCCCACACAGACTGAAGACGAACCCACATAAAAAATGCGAAACTAAATGATTTTAATCAGAATTAGCCCACAGAAAATAAAGGAAACGTAATTTCTATATGTAATAAGATTACATCTATCAGCTCGATGAGAGTGTGATATGATTGTGTTTAATTCTAGGTTAATGAGATTAAACCACACAATAAAACATAAAAATAGACACTACTAATCATAGTCCGATACGTACTGGCTATTTATTATCACGAAAAGACTGATTCATTGTCCTGACACAATTTCCACCATTGCATACTTCTGATACTCGTTGGCTCTATCTATTACTGGTGATAGTTAACATAGCATAGTCAAGACACAGTTTCCGTCAATGCAGACTTCATAGACTAATCTGATTTGTGCTGGCTCTGTCTAATATCACAAGTAGGCAAAATTTCCCTCATTAAACACTGTATGATGTTGCCCACCTTTATAGGTTTTATCCGGAATAAAACCTAGAATGTAAGACCTCATTCAATTTCATTCATTTTTAACTCATAACCTGTAAGAATAGGAATGTTCATCATAAGATAATTTACAATCGCACAACAGACAGAATAAGGATTCATTTTGCCGAACCTCTTGACAAATTTATGTACAAATTTCCCAAATGTGACTGATTGTGATCAACTCATTGCAATGATCCACTGGGCTGAAAGATGCTTGCTGTCAAATATCGGAAATTACTAGTTAATGAAAAAAGAAAACGAAATAGTTGAAAAACATCTGTTCAGCCTGTTGCTTGATTTACCCATACACCATGTAGGAACAGAAAATAGGGCGGAAAGCTCCATTTTACATGATTTCTTTGTCCAGAAATATTATCGAACATTTCAAAAGAAGAGAATAATCTTATTGTGTAAAAATTCATTAAATTAAAAAAAAATTCATCGATCCCTGAATTCTAAATCGTATCTCAGTTCAAAATTATTTAATCTTGACCTAGTTACAATGACACCATATTGATTTTGATTTGATAATCAATTTCATTTTTCAATTTCACACAGGTGGGAATTTGTGTTTTAAATTAAAATTCCTAAATCTTAATCAAATTTCGGCGGTGACTGTACTTTAATCTAGGGTCTGTTGGTGAGAATCAATAACCAATTCCTGATAAAATTAACAAATCCTGGCGAAATCCAAATTCGTCAGCGTTATCAAAAAACGTGTCTTACATGAAACGCTTTGATTGGTTAAAAATAACGTCATTGGAACCGACTGTTGTTGAATCTGTGTTAGATTACAGTGGAGACGTAATGTATCGGAAACGAAATTAGATTCTTTGTTGTCAGAAGGTATCTTACCCTGTCTGTATCTATTACCTGATGTTACCTTAAGACCAAACGCCTGTTGTTGTTGTCAGTAGGTAATGAATATGCCAATCTATTTAAAACCAGATTATAATTTCAAAGGGAGTGTCATATTGTTTTAATTTGGGTTTCGCTATCCCACAATTCGTCAATGTTTTCAAGAAACAGATTCTACATGACCAATTTGATTGGTTAAAAAAACCTCATTAGAACGGGACTGCGGTAAAAAGTTGTTAGATTAGGGTGGAGTCGTAAAATCGGAAAAAATGGGACCGAAATTGAAATCTGATTTTGATTAGATTGGTCTAATTCTAACCACAACCCTAGAATCTATATTAGAACAACAATAGGTATTAATATAAATGATAATTATAATACCTATATAAAGCTATATAAAACTTTCTGATCGATATTATAACACGGAATCTATGTCATATATACCCACCAATATATGTTATTAGGTTAATCAACTTATATAATGGTAAAGAATGGAAATGAAATCAATGGAGCTTTACGTTCACTTTATTGCACCTGTTTGGGTTAATGAAGAAGGACAACGCCATGCAGTGTGTAATGATGGAAATTTTGCCAGGACAGTGGCATTAAAGTACTCTTTATACGTTTTCATTTATAGATAGATCTTTCACATGCACAGCCTGCGAACACAAAGGACATCGTATACAATTATCATTATAAGCTACGTCACAAGGCTAAAAGCTCCAGGACCCTTACCCCTAAGTCTAATACACGCCCCGAGAAAAGCCTAGGCCAGCCACGACCGCAATTGTAGTACAGCTATTGTCATCAGCTAAGTCGCAGGGGCCGAAACCCTTAGACCCAAACCCTTAAGCCTATATATTTGCCAACGAGGTCAACCAAGGCCCCTAAGTCTATATGCGCCCCTAGGGCCGACAAAGGCCACATATTCAATGTACATATATTATGATAATTGAGATTATCTCCAATGATGTGTATGAAATTCTATAGAATAACTAGGGCATAGTTAGATAAAGTGTGTTTTGTTTAGTGAATTTGTTTAGATAATACAGCTATAATATAATATACTCGATATCATGGGGAGTATTAAAGTTGATCTTCCATATTTGGTCCTGTTCAATTAACACGATAAGAGTCAGTGGCGGAGCCAAGGTATAGATGGGAATTTTACTCACTATATCTATATATGTCTTTTCTATACATCATAGAGTATCTTAAATTGACGAGTCGTCATTTTAACATTCAATCGCGGATAATTCTGGACACACATGGATTTGAAGGCTCAAATTCCGACGGTGAGCTTTGAACACTATAACTGATTGGCTTAGCTAAAAAAATCCAGTTTCTGAGACTAAAGTAGGCCTATGATTGCTTCCTCCCCCTGTAAAACTTCTGACAACCGACCAATTCCATTACTGGATTTAAAAACCATTGCCCCTTCGGATGTATTACTTGTCCCTCCGAACAATCAAGTCTGGCTACGGGCCTGATATACGCATCGTGTAATTATAAAGACAGCATAATGATTTACACAGAGAAAAGATAAAATCAATACACAGTTTATGCAGAAAAAGCATCAAAATAACAATCATACAAAATATTTTAAACACTGTACAAGCTGTAGACTTCATTTTTCTTATTTATCAAGGCCCTTGTTTTATTATTCTCAAGGGTAAGCGACATACAACATGAAAATGTTTGTGTGCTAATGTTAGAACCACAGACAGAATATTTTTCCAGCTCAATGAGTTAACGGGACTCGTTTATTTAGGTTAAATAATTCCACACAATGAC